GCCACAGCTGGAGGGGTCGGGGGTCACTCGCTCTGCTATCAAAATGGCAGTGATTTATTGGCCATTTAAGTTTAATGACTGAATTCATCTGCTTTGTGTCCTGTCCAAGAATCTGTCAGAGTTCCTCGGATATTCTGATTAGCTCAGACGAGGTTTCTCATTGTCGGTCTGGAATACTCCTACAACAGTACCATGGGACTCTTCACTGAAAAACAACTGCTCTAACTTTAAGCCACTTAATGCAAGATCAGCATTTGAGACAGTAATTATCAAATACAAAGGGTTATTATGAACAAACATATCTATGCATGTCCATGTTCCAAGTTTAATACTAACTTTTTTATTTTTTATTTTTCTGGAGGACACATTATTGGTGCATGCGTGCCCATGCAAAAGTCACCACCATGATGCTAGAGTGTTGCTTGTAGGTTTAGAGGTTTTTAGTGATGCTATGTGGTTTGCTCTTGTCAAAAGAGTCTTAATGGAGATGAATGGAATTTTTCCACTTGTTTAATTTCCTGTAGGGCTTATATCAATCTGAATGCTTAGAAAATAACATTGTTTCAGAAAAATCGGATATTGTATGACAAACCTTTCCACAAGGAAACCCCGAAAAGGATGTAATCTCGAGAAGCATCACAGACATGAAAATACATGGTAGGTGTTTTAAGTTTAAGCTCTTTAACTGTGGTGCTTTGTGTAGACTTGTCTGCAGTCAGTGTTCAAATTTTATTCCTAATATTTTCACTTTCAGTCTTCACAGAAAAACTGCTTGTAGTTTAGAACAAACGCCTACCCTAAGCAGTCTGCTGTCCACAGTCACACTTGTGAACATGTATATGTAAATGACCCTTCACAACAGATAACGCTTTACAATGAACTCTTTTAGGGAGCTACATATGGCAATGTATCTCTTCAATAAAATTGAACTTGTTGTGACAACTAACCAATGCCACACCCATTTCCATCAAAGTAGCAACTATTCTCTATTTATGAAATTGACGAGACACACACAAGCCAGTGATATAAGTATGCAATTTCCCGCGAAAAGCATCCCGCTCGGTCTAAAATATAAACACTTCTAACGGGCTCACCATAGTGAATCAGGTTAAGACAAAAACACATTTTGGAAGAAGGATTGATGGTGTATTGACTTTAAATTTTGTTAATTTTGGTCATAAAAAAGTTACATAGTGCACCTTTAAGAAGCCCATTGTTTTTTTTTCATTGCTGAACATGTACAAATAATCCAAATATGACCTATTTAAGTTGCCACTTGCAAGGTTAGTGACTAATCACACTGGGTAAAGACTTTTAGGTTAAAAAATTAGGTTAATATGCCACCTTCAGGGATGATGCAACCTCATAATCAGGTTTCATGATGAACTTTTCTGATTTTATTTAGGAATATTCTGGGTTAAGTAAAAGTTAAGCTTTGTCAACAGCATGTGACATGATGCCATATACCACATAAAATCATTTAAACTAGTCCCTTGGTGCTTTGACAGTTATGCATTTACAAGGACTGTCTATGGTGCAAGCAAAACAACTGATGCTCTCAATAGAGTTTGTATTTAACCTGGAACATTTTAATAATTTGATTTGGTTTCAGAGTAAACCCAATTGAAGGATTGCATTTTCTCAGCATCTGCCAGAAACCTACATATTTGAGTCTGAATTCCCTGATGGCTATGGAATATTTTCTGACAGATATGGCAGAAATTTCCCCCAATTCTTTCTCTGGATATTTGAGCTGTGCTTTTACTGGAACACCAGTTCTTGCATTTAGGGTAGAGTCTAATCTGGGCCTGGCTGCGAGCCATTTCATTCCCCTCTGACACCGACCTGTGTGAGTGTGTGTGGAAAGGAGTGGTGTATGCATACAAGACTCGCCCCATACCTGAGTGAGTGATAGTGAAGTGTAATAGATTCTCTTTGTGAAGCACAGATCTAGAGCTGCTAGAGCTGAACACTAGACAGAACTATGAATGAACCTATGAATACAATGACCATGAAATCGAGTGTAAAATGCCACTCAAGAGAGAAATTGATTTTAAACAAATGCAAACTACATGAAAATCAAACAATACACCTTTTCCTAATACACCTTTTCCAAAACACCTTTTCCTTTCTTTTTTTAATGCCTGTGTATGGAATGAATGGGGATTTTTTTTAAAACCCAATGCCGCTGAAAATGTTGGTGGTCACTGTTGCGCTCTATAGAATGATAATGAAAGTACAGTCGTTTTTGATGACTTCCCCTCTGTGGGTCTGGGCACTGAATCTTTCTGGATGAGTAGTAGGAGTGTAAACTTAATTAGTTTTGTCCTTTCTTTGTTTCTGCTGAGTTTGCAGTGTTTCTAAAAGGTGGCAGTGGAGCTCATATCTGTCTGTTATTTTTCAATTAAAATCTGACGTGCGAACCATACTAACAAAAAACAAATGTCTCTTCTCATTACCTCCTACGTCAGCTTCTCTTTTTTAACTCGTTCTGTCCTGCTCTCTTCTGTCTTTTTTGTCTTATTTGAGTGTATCCACTTATTTCTTTCTCTGAGACTTCCTCCCACTCTTTCACCTTGCACTCAAGGTTTCCTCTCAGACTAAACAGCCCTTACTGAGGTGTGTGTCCGTCTGAATGTGTGTTGAGAGAGAGAGAGAGGCTGGTGCCTTTCTGCAGTTGCTGAGACATGCTATTTGGTGAAGGATTTCTGTCACTATGACCAAGATATGCAATCAGGCTGTATCTAATGTACAGTATATTAAGACACGTTTTAACATCATAAATTCTCTTGGTAATCTTACTCCAAGTGGCTTTCATTGCATGTTCAGTAACATGGGAGCGAAGTCCGGTGTTGCCAGATCTGGGGAGAAAAACAAGCAACCTAGTCTGACAATAAATTCCGTAAAATTGCCTCACAAAAATAAGCCTACATAAGGGACCCCAGTTGTTAGTGCTTTCTATGGATGTGTATGGATGTGCTTTTCTATGGATCAATGGGAATTGCTTGATTTCGTTGATCTGATTTATTTTAGTATAAATTTACAAACAATCAAAAATGCTGGAAGTAAGCTCAAACATTGAAACGCATGCATGCCCATATTAATAAGCCCAAAATTACTTTAAAGTCCCCGTGAACCGGAAGTTGCAAACGACTTTTCTCCAGTGTGACGTATTTCCGAGAGAAACGGAATACTAAATGAGGCAAAATAGTGGGCGTGGCTTTTTTCCCCAACTAGCACCTGATTGGATCTAGAAAATTAGGTGTTTTCATACAAAACGATCAATTTAGCCAAACAAAGTAAGTATGGTCAATTTTGAATTCATGGGGACTTTAAGTGGACATGGCAACACGGGGAAGCCCCTTACACCTGCTATGCGTGTAGTGACAGGCAGATGGCGCCAATGCAACTTACAGTAAACCAAATGAGCCAAGAACTTAAACAAATTGGTGCTAAATAAAAGTTTTTTTTATATTAAAAAATATTATTAAAAGAAGAGATAGCACAGGCCTGTGAGATGCTTTAGTCTCATGAACCGAGTGTCAAGTCTAAGAGGATTTTATGTATTGGGATGAGAGAAGGGATCCCATGTGCATTTGAAAGAAAATGCAACAAATGCCTACGTGTGAAATTGCCACAAGAGGAAAAACTTTTTTTCTACTAAGAGACATATATATATATACTATTGGGAAAATAGGTGTGTGAAATTGTTTATGGAAGCCGAAGAAGGGATGTCTTGTAAATTCGAGCGGGTCTGTTGGAGTCTCGCGCGCTGGCCGGACTGACCGCGGCTCACATGTCCAGCGTGCGCTAGAAGCGAGTCCGTCGTTCATACGCGCGGGCGCGCGCACACACCAGTACGTGGTGATGGACACACACACTTAAACATGTGATCACGCCCTCATTACCTAGCACTCTTTCCGTTTTCCAAGCAACCTTGCAAATGACCGAGAAGCCTCAAAAGGGCGTCAGCGCGGCCCGTCATGTGATGCTGATGATATTCAAACTGGGATTACGCACATACTGTAGACCGCTATGCCTGCACGTACGACCTATCATTACGCAGCGGATATTACTTATTATACATGATTAATTATTGATAATACATTTTTAAAATGTTGAAATGTAATAAAGGAATATATCAAGCCCTATTATTTGCCATATTTGATGCTGTTATTAAATAAAATGGGGGAACATCAAGTAGGCTGAAATCCGTTTTTTTTCACTCATTGTTATATTATTGTTATAACTATAATATAATGTGTATAATGAAATTGTATTAAAAAGTGAACATATATATATATATATATATATATATATATATATATATATATATATATATATATATATATATTGGTGGTCTGACTTTTGGATCAAACTGTTACGCATACAAATAGCAAATAAGGAATATGTAAAGTCAGCCGTTATAAAAGTAAGCTCTGTAGGGTGATCATAAATGGGTTTATTTTGCTATAATATGGGCTCACTATATGCCTACATGGTCCCGCTTTTTATACAGCTACTTACAAAATAAATAAACGTAAAATGTTTGAATAATATATTTTAAGGATAATTAAATCCTTTTGAAACAATTTAAAGTATTTTATTAGAACATATACGCTGAGCTACGAGTGGACAGTTATACTGCGACTATGGACAACGGTCATTATTCAGAAATATTTGACCGATGAAAGACGCAATTGACCAATCAAAATCAATTATTTCAGAGAGCAACTTGCAATAAGAGGGATGACTGTTTGCTCATTTGATTAAACAGTAGCCGTAATACCGCTTTTATACAAAATATCGAAACATAATTGATACCAGGCCAGCACTCTGTAATTAGAGAGCGAGATCTCTCGTTTTACAGAAGCTCTTACAGTTATCAATAAGTCAACATCTGCGCATTGAACTTAACTGAGACACTGGACGGCACACTGACACCACTATAGCCACGCCCATCGCAGTGACTCGTCCAATGGCGTGAGTTTCAATCTCACTGCGGTGCCAGAACTGACCGACAGCTGAAGCTGTTCGTTAAAACCGGGGAACGGCGGCGTCCGTGATCATTCATAACGGCAAGGGGGAGAACTTGAGAATCAAGCCGACAAATCAAACAGGAAGCGGAATTAAAGCAGGGTTCATTCGTAGGGACTAGAAGTGCGCTTGGATATAGCATTCTCTCTTCGGCGTCTTTGTGTTCTCATTGGTATCACTGTATGGGCAATACTGAAAGTTTTATCAGCGAGTGAGTTTCTTATCCATTCTGCGTCCCTTTCCCAATGAACCCAACGCACTTGGAGACGGGCGGCAGGCTAAGCATGGGATTACTTTTGTGATGTGGATTGTAATAGCCTTGGAAGAAAAAATTGATCTACTTCTCAACAATGTGAGAGGACCTGCGTCCTGGATTCTCATATTTCTGGATATTCTGAAAATAATCGGCAACAGCTGAGAGACGTTATAACATATTTTCCGTGGGTCTCACGCTCTCTCAGGTGTCTGCATGCGTGTTGTGAGACCAACATGGGATTGTTGTTGCCCCTATAGGTCGGACCCCGTGCGAAGAAGCCTTTACTCATGTCTAACTTGCTTTCTGAGACCTTTACCAATGCGTTTGCTAAAGTCCGCCTATCATCGGATAGGGTTTTAAAAAGAGTTATTCGCCTTATAAATTCAATCATGAACTTTGCCGTTGGCGTGCTCCAGTTATTTATTGTGACGCTTCTGTATTTTTCAGCTGTCAAGGTAAGTTTTATATCCCTATGCATACATATATAGAGTAAGACGCAGACGTATTGGTTGAATTTGAAATAGTGTTATTTCGAATGTAATGTCTGCGCCACTATATTGGACGTCCTTGTGTTTCCCCTTGCGAGGTCATTGACCATGTTTTGCCAAGCTCTTCAAAATTACGTGAACAAGCCAATGTGATCATCCCACATTGAGCCATTTAACACTGTAGACAAGTTACAACTGGGGGAATCCAGAGATATACGCAACCCAAGTGCATTCAACTGTTTGGAAGTTTGTTGTCGATTTTGGTGAAGGCCCTATCATAACCACCTTAGTGATATTATTACGCTTTAAAGGCGCAGCTACAGTATACAGTTCAGACGGACCAGGCACCAACATATCCGGCCTCAGGAGACCACAATATAGAGATATAAATCATTAGGTTGTGATTTCAGCCTATCTTCAGAAATTATTCACCAATTAGTCTTATTCTTGATGAAATTCGAAACTTTATTATATTCAAGGGCATGGATGAATACAAATAAACTGTTAATCAGTTTGACAGTCTGACGAGAAGTTTGTGCTTATATCAATGACATCATGTGATTCTCAGCCATTGATTCACAAGCAATGTTAAATCCATATAAAACCCCCCAAAAAGTTCAGCTGGTCTGTTAAATTGAGTAAAAGGCTCAGCTGGAAGGGGGGAAAAAGCTTCATTGAGAAGTGCACGTGTCTCCATGGAGCTTCTGCAAAATCTGAAGTGTGAGATCTGACATGTTCACAAGTCTCTAATGCAGAGTTCAAGGCCAGTTTTGATTTGAGACTAGACTCGTGACAAAAGACTATCAAGGCCAAGTCTAAGTCAAGTCTCCGATCATTCAAGGCCAAGTCTTAAGTCCCCTTTTAATATAGTTTTCTGTATACTACAGGTTAATGATATATATGTTGATATGTGCACTTGAGTAAAATTATTATTTTAAGTCAATGTTTAAGTATACACACACAAAAAGAATCATTCTTTGTGATAGCTAACATTTATTATTTTTATTTTTTAAAGAACTTTGACTTTGAAATGAAATTAGGTAATTTGTTGCATCATCCTAAAACTTGAGTAATGATGCCGTGGTGAATAACTAGTCAAACCTGTTTGGACTCTTGATTATTGATTGTGAACAAATATGTATAACTGAACACAGTCTTTAAAGGGATACTCCACTTTTTTTGGAATAGGCTCATTTTACAACTCCCCCAGAGTTAAACTGTTGAGTTTTACCGTTTTTGAATCCATTCAGCCGATCTCCGGTTCTGGCGGTACCACTTTTAGCATAGCTTAGCATACATCATTGAAGTGGACAAGACCATTAGCATTTCTTTTTAAAAAAATGACCAAAGAGTTTCGATATTTTTCCTATTTAAAACTTGACTCTTCTGTAGTTACATCGTGCACCAAGACCGACGGAAAATGTAAAGTTGCGATTTTCTAGCCTGATATGGCTAGGAACTATACTCTAATTCCTGTGTAATAATCAAGAAACGTTACTGCCGTACCATGAGAGCAGCAGGCACAATGATATGACGCAGCGCTTGTCAGCGCAACTTTACATTTTCCGTCGGTCTTAGTGCACGATGTAACTACAGAAGAGTCAAGTTTTAAATAGGAAAAATATCTAAACTCTTTGGTCATTTTTTTTTTTTTTTTTTTAGAAATGCTAATGGTCTTGTCCACTTCATTGATGTATGCTAAGCTATGCTAAAAGTGGTACCGCCAGAACCGGAGATCGGCTGAATGGATTCAAAAACGGTAAAACTCAACAGTTTAACTCTGGGGGAGTTGTAAAATGAGCCTATTTCCTAAAAAAGAGGAGTATCCCTTTAAATATGAATTTCTGTCAAAAAGTTGTTGTTGTTTTTTTACTACAGAGTGCCTACATACCCAGGGAGGGAGGCAAAAGCACATATGACGGTGAGTTTCTGCTTGAACTCAATGGTGTCATCCAGAGACTGGACACATACAGCGCCCTCTGGTGGATAGGTTAAGAGGGCAATGCTGTGCCTTTAATCAAACACTCTGTAAAGCTTAGGATAAATTGTTGTATTTATTAGAAGCTCACGATTACATCTTAACATACAAATCTCAAAGGGATAATTTGGATCACGCATTGCCAAACTGCTCATTGCTCAATCTCTGTTAAGCCTAGAGAACCAGACTACACATTATTAAATTACAATACATTTGTGCTTTAATTCTTCATGTAAAAAAGAGACTCAAACAGCTGTGCAGAATATACACACAGGCTACTTTGGGGTCTTTTTTATTTTTAAGTAGGTCGAGTGCAACACAAGGAATGTACATGATTTAAATGGACACCCCTGTCAGTCACAAATTCCTAGAAGGGCTCCCTGATTTCCAAACTGTGTTGGCCATTAAAAAATTGTGCAACTCTTGGCCAAAAAGGTCCTACATTTTTGCCACAAAAAACAAACAAGTAACTGATTTTCCTATTTTTTCTCTAACTTGCAGTGGTGCCATTCATGGAGGTGTATAACAAGTCACTTTGTCGTCCTCGAGAGGTGCTGGTGGAAATTCAACAGGAATACCCTGATGACATAGAGCATATCTTTATACCGTCCTGTGTGGTTCTCACCCGCTGTGCTGGGTGCTGCAATGATGAGATGATGGAATGCACCCCCACCGTCACATACAACATTACCTTGGAGGTCAGAGACCCCTAACTTCCAGACTGTTGCTCTCTTTTTCTCTCTATGTTCTCCCACTATCTGTCTGAATCTTGTTAAGTCTACTTTTTGGAAACCCTACACTCCTCTACTTTGTCTCCCACATTCAAACCCTTTATCTCTCTCTTTTTGGCCAAGCTAACAGGGTTTCTTCTGAATGAGAGTAGCCAATTTTTAGGTAGTGTTGAATGTAGCTTTTACTTAAAGGGATAGTTCAGCCAAAAATGAAAATTGTCATCATTTACTCACCATTTATGAGGTTGTTTTCTTCTGTTTAACACAAAATAAGATATTTTAATTAAGAATGTTGGTAAGGAGACAGTTGACGGTAGCCATTGACTTCCATAGTTTGTTTTTCCTATTATGGAAGTCAATGGCTACCGTCAACTGTATTATTACCAACATTCTTTAAAACATCTTCTTTTGTGATAACAAAAATGTAATTTTTTAGCGAACTGTCCCTTTAACAATAACACTGCCTTATATGTCCATGATGTGGTGTTTTAATGTTTGTTATTGCTTTTTTCTGTAGATTAAAAGATTGAAACCACTCCGTCATCAAGGTGACTTTTTCATGAGTTTTGCAGAACACAGTGAATGCCAGTGTCGGTAAGAATCCTCATTTCTACTCATACATTCATATAGCTACCTAAATGGGGACAAATGATTTCTTACACATGAAAGAAAACCTTTTCCATTTAAAAGAAAAAAAGTGATTTTTTATTTTTATTTTTTTTTACTTTTGAATACTTTACTATAAGGAAGCTTGTCCCTAGAGGAAGGCTGTCAGATTCAGCTAACCTTTGGGGACACTTCTTTATGCCGTCTATTATCTGCTCTATAATTGTATTTCTAGCTGTATTAATATAACTGAGGGGTGTTAGTGGATGTTTGTCTGTTGTTTTGTGCTCACAACAAACACGTTCACTTAGGTAATGTCTCCCTCTTTTTGTTGCTTTTTCAGGCTGAAAAAAGATCTTCCAGAGAAAAGAGAAAAGTGAGTGACATTGTTGTTGTGTGTGTGTGTGTGTGTTTGTGTGTGTGTGTGTGTGTGTGTGTGCTTTTGCTCTCGCATTATTTTGTCATTTTCCCCTCCATCATTCTTGCATTCATTCTTGTCTCCTAATCTCTCTGCCTTTATCTCAGTCACTATTATCTCAAGCTAGGTGTATTCCTTCTTGTTTTCCTTTTCTCCATGATCCTTTCATCTAAGCTTGTTGCTTTTCATGTTACATAAAGCCATAAAATCTGATCGTGAGAGAACAGTGGAACTCTTCACTGTTGTTTCTAAACACATAATATGAGGTAACAGGTGATTTAGATCTTGAAAATCGTTAGTTGCACCATTGTCAAACTAAAGCTAAGCTAAAACTAGGACTGGGCGATTTAATGTATGCCTGATATCTTTGCTGGCAATATAAATTCAAACAACATTGTAAATATCTCATGACAATCAGCTGTGATCACTTCTGATTCAACAATTTGTTCATCACTCAAAAGTATACATATGAATGTTTTAGTAAAAAGTATTACTGTCTTATTATACATATACATACTTTCTAAGTGTTTTTCATTTTGTGAAATAAAAAACAATTTTTAAAAAAAGCCTTTTTAAGCTATATTGCCCAGGCCTAGCACAAGACCAGAACTACTGCTTTTGTTAATCAGATGAACTGAGATACTCTCTAACCCGTACACCATTATCTGATCTCACTTCCTTTTTGATGTCTTCATGTCGTTGCACGTTGCTCTCTCAAGTGTAAATTCAGCCCCTCAGGTGTGTGAAGAGCTGCGTGAACAGGTGTGCGAGTTTCGCCCTCTAGTTCAATGCCCTCGCCCTACATTCATCTCGGCGTCGGCTAAGCTCTGCGATTTGAGGTTCATTGAGGTAACAGAGAGATTTGTCATCTCTGAAGTGTCTTTAAGTCCGGCGATAAGATAATGTTTTCAGCGTTTGTTTATGAGCCCGTTTCCACTCCTCAGAGATACTGCAGCGGTCAGTCAACCCCCTCTCCGATGCCTCCCTCTCACCAGAGAATGTGGGCCGAAGTGTTTGAAAGTTTACTGAAGTTGAGGGTGTTGATCTTGTGGCTGATGTGTTATGGGTCAGAGGTTATCTCTAGGGGTTTAAAAAGTGTAATTGCTTTCTGGTTCTGGTAAACAAGTGGCCCTTTGACACAGAGGCTGTTCTACGACAGCCCCGTGTTCACAGACACTGATGACAATGATTGAATTTGATCTATGAAAAGAATGAATGTAATCGTAGAGTATAACCAGCCTGATTTGTCAGCTGTGTATAGGAGCAAATTCAACTTTATAGTCCTGACGTTCTGTTTAAAGAGCTTCAACTTCGTATCGTTTGTAAGAGACGCCCATTAAAGGATTGATTAAATTAAATGTTTTCAAATAAATTTAGTGAATATTGCATATGTCGGCCACCCTGCTCTCTGCTTACTTTCATAGAGCATTGAAAAACCCATGTTGATCAACCACTAATGCAAATAACCTTAAAGAGATCGCAGCACATCAGTTTGTACTCGTGATTGCGAGATAGGGGAAAGTTCACATTCTTGCTGCCTGACGTGTCTGACGTGATATGCCAGGATTCTCAGCTATCTGAAAGATAAATGTACGTGTATGTCGCTAATACTCCGTGTTGATTTGCTGATTGATCAGTATTATCATTATAATGAAAGAGAGCTTCTGACGGTTTCCATTAGACTTCTCTAATATAAGAGAGTTCAATCTCGCCAGTAGACTTTGAGCTTTGGCTCAATTTGAATCAGTTTGTCTGTGTTTTGCACCAGCCAGGAATCCTGCTAACATTAGTGATGCCTTTGAAGATTTAATGCCTTGTTTATTTATTGAAACTGCTTCGTGAGAGAGATTCTGAAGTATTGGCGAATTTTCCCAGAGCCTGGCTGGCTTTTTATTTCAAATTCATGTCTAACGCCCCTGGAGTTTGCTGTCGTGTCAGGCACTAATACAAGAATAAGAAGAGAAAGATGTGTTTTAGTGGGACATGTTTACTGATGTTTCCATCTGGATCATTTTAGCACTACGTTCACTGCAATCTGACTGTGTGGATGATCTTTTGCAACAACTCCGATTCAGTTTTTGTTTTTCGATGTTCTTCTTTGTTTGTCATGTTCCCTTTTCCAGAAAACCCCGGAAGGGCAAAGGCCAAAAGCGAAAGAGAAAGAAAAACCGTGAAAAAAAGCGGGATTTGTACGTCACCTCTGCGTTCGCCTCCTCTCGCCTGCACCTGAGTGTGGCACTCTTGGTCGTCAAATTAATTTGGGAGGAGATTTTATGCCTCCTTTAATCAGTGTATTTCTGTCGGACGGTGTTAATTGCCATTAATCCATCAACTCCTCTGCCACTTAATTAAAACTGACCATGCCACAAAACCACATGCTCGATCTCTGCTCTCACAGAGCTTGCCTTACTAATGCAGAAGCACATGCTAAAACCATTAACATAAACAATGTTTGGCCAAATTGTTTATGATTTGTTTTTGCAAAAGGTACAAACAAGTAGAGTGACTGTCGACTTTTATAGTCAGAAAATGTTTTCCCATTCAGTCTCCTTAGGCATCTTTGGTAAAGCATTCTAAGCCTTTAACTAAACCATTCAACTCCAAGATGAATCATAGGAATACAACCTTTGATTTGAACAAAGCAAGTATTTGGAAAGAAGTAGTCTCTTATTAGAGAATGCATTATTCATTCCATGCGGCGTTGTGAATGATGTAATCCAAACAAGAGCCACAATACACTAACAAGTCTGACAAGTCATTAATTGTAGGCATAAAGCAAAATGTATACAGACGATACAATTTGACATGAGGTTTTTATTGCAAAGTAATGACATATGGATATTGTGGGTATGGAAGCTCCTTGGATTTCGTCATTAGCAGTGCTTTATGGGAATGGACAGTCAGTGGCCTCAGAAGCAACCTAGCAAAACGAGATTTGTTCTCATTTCCAAGGTTGGTTCTCACGTTCTCTTATTGGAGGACCTTGCTTAATGATTGTGAGTAGTGCAGCACTTCATGGTAACTCGGAAATGAAAAATGGCAAAAGCACCATCGCTTAACTTCCTCTGAGCTCATGGTAGGTCTGTCCGTTTTTCAATGGGGGGAATGAATGGGATTTCTATTTCTGGAGCCGTACAGTTGCGCTCTATAGTTTGTGCCGTAGGACCTAATAAATAAATGAAGCTCTATGATTGGAGGAGGTGAGCAGTGGTGAGGTAGCCGACATAAAAACTCACCTGACCCACTCAGCATGGCTTTCTGTTGATGGTACTAATTTGTCACAATATTTCTGTTGGAATCACAACCTTGTTTGTGCCGCTTCCTGTTTTTGGAATGCGAATTATTGTTCTCACATTTTTTATTGTATTATGACCATCATCCTCACATTGTTCTGTCCTCTCTGACATATGAGAAGGATTGTGTGAGATGTTTTTTTTTTTTTAAATTCATTGCTGTGAGTTTTGTTTTGTCATGCTGCGTGAGCTCTGCCGCACAGCATTACGAAAGTCAAACAGCCTGTTTACTTTGGTGCTTCTCCCAGTAATTGGAAAGTGAAATGTATTTCAAAGAAATGCGTACATGAGGACAATCTGCTCCTGTGAGACTGATGCTTTTGAGGTCAGTATTTTTCTGAGGGTTTGGATTTTCATATAAAAATAAATAAATAAATAAATTAGATTTAAGGCCTGTCGAGACAAAGATCATGAAAGTATGTTATTGTTTGCACCACAACTATTCACATTGAATTTATGACATTCTCTGAGAAGATTTGGATTTCAAGTTTGGCTGTCAAATCTTATTGTGACTTAATACTAAGAACATCATTGAGATGTGGTGCTCATGTAGGTATAAATCTGACATTTCCCTAACACAGTCCTTTTTCTCGCAATATTCCTGTCCTTTTTTCCTGTCAAGAAAGTGGCCAAAGCACATAAATGGGTAAACTATAAGTCTTGTGCATGTTTTTCATGCCAATCGTTCTTTGTGTAAATAGGCCTTTACACTGTTGTGATTTGAAGTCAGGTCAGGGTTAAATGTAGAATTTAGAATGTGGTTTTGATAAGCCTGTCCTCAGAGCAATATTGGCTTCAAACAAGGTCAGCTGGCACAAATGCATGTGAATCTTCCTCTTGGAGTCCATCATTTCGTACTGTACATGTGTCCTGATGACCCTGATCCAACACTACAAGAAGCAATAAACTGAAACACTGGATTCTTATGCACTGTTCTCTCTCTGCCTTTTATTCCAGTATGCTTTTCTAAAATGGAAAGAGTGAAAATTAAACAGTTTGTGGTTGTTTTTATTGTTTTCTTGCATCAACTGAGCTTGCAGGTGCATGGCCACATCCTGCCTATAACTTCAGCTATTTACACTCTACAAAACCCCCTCGGACCCTCAGAAGGGGCGAAACCGTGGTGCCAGACCAGGGTGGCTCAAAAAGTGCACTGCTTGACTCACTGAGTGCCTGTGTGTGTATGTTTGGGTGAACGTGTTTAATAATGGCCATTACTATGTGTCAGCAGTAATCTCCCCCAATCCTTCTCCTTTTCTCATTCTCTCGCTCTTCAGTAGTCAGTGTGAGCCTTGCTGTTCTACATGCTCTGAAAGGAGAAGAAGGTTGTTTGTTCAAGACCCCGAGACGTGTCAGTGCTCCTGTAAACACTCTGAAGCCGACTGCAGGTCTAGACAACTAGAACTCAACGAAAGGACCTGCAGGTGTGTTTGTAAATCTACACTTTTTTTTGTGTATCTATCTACACATGTTAGTGCAAGACTGGCCTTCCTGTTTTTGTATTGTCATATACAGATGTGTTGCTCAGAGGGTTGATCTTTCATGTAAAGCAATAGTTCATTCAGAGATCAAGTGAATTCTGTCATCATTTCCTCATCGTCACATTGTTTCAAACCCTATGACATTTTTACTTCGGTAGAAGACAAATGGAGATTTTTGGCCGAATGTTCATTCTGCCCTTTTCCCTTGAAAGAGTCGGTTGCTGCTTCTTTAAATATAAGCTTTGTCTCAGATCTGTCTCCTAAACAACTAAAAGATATGTTGATATATTGAAAGAGTGTAAAAATGATTTGGTCTGGTAAACGTTGCATCTTGGTAAATCAGTGTACAGTTTGAGACATTGATGCATCTCTTCTGAAAATGAAGGCGACATATGTAAGATACTCTATTTGTCAGAAGGAGCCTTTGTTTGGCAGCAACCTTGAGCAAAGGTTGAATCTTCTTCCTGTCTAGGATAAAACAATTGAGATGTTATAGAGATTTCATTTGTGATTTTTCTACTTACTTTCCCAGATGTGACAAACCACGGAGGTGAACCGAACAGATTTCAGAATGGACTCTGTCATGAAGGAATATTTCACCAATAACTCACAGCACTTTGAACTTTCAGCTTTGAACTTTGGTCTCATTTTTCCATCACGGAGATATTGAGAGAATGAAGTGGGGGGTTAATAGTCAATGAAATGCTCTGTCTGTATATTTTCATGATTTTCATGTGTGTATTAAGCGAACCGAGAGACTGAAAGCACAGGATTTGATTTGCTGCTAAAGGGTCTTCGCAAAAGACCTACGTAAACGTTTCTGATCTTGGCTGGCATGCGTAAGGTCGTACTCGGAAGTCGTACTCAACGAAACACATCACTGGATTTGGGTCTGCTGTGCAGTTTTTCATGTGAATCTAAATGTAAACGAGCGCATACAAAACATTTGGAGGACTGCAAAACTGCGTCAGCGTCCACTACACGCTGTGGAATCATTCCTCCCAGTACGTGAACACTTGAGCACAATGTGTGTGTTTTTAGAGATGGACAAATGACTGGAGTTTTGGTGGTAAACCGAACTGATTCTGCCGTTGGAATGTCACACAGTGATGCCATGGAAACCTGCTGGGCGCTGTGGTAAATGTTTGCACCAGAGCTCTGACCTTGATGAGGCAAACTCAAGAGGATTTTGGTCATATTCACTCCTTAAAGGGATATTCATTTTTTGACATGTTTGGAAACCACTTTGAATAGATTGTGTGATTAGAATCCATGCTTTCACACTACTGGGGATTTAAAGGGATAGTTCACCCAAAAATGAAAATTCTGTCATTATTTACTCACCCTAATGTCGTTCCAAACCAGTAAGACTATCATTCATCTTCGGAACACAAATTAAGATCTTTTTGAGCTTTCTGTCCCTCCATTGACAGCTACGCAACCGACCCTTTGACGCTTCAAAAAGTTCATAAAGAGATCGTAAAACGAATCCATATGAATCGAGTGGTTTAGTTCAAATTACCTGAAGAGTTTCAAGTGCTTTATTTGATGAACAGATTTAATTTAGGCTTTTATTCACATTTAAACATTGTGGAGGGACAGAAAGCTCTCAGATTTCATCAAAAAGATCTTCATTTGTGTTCCGAAGATGAACAACAGTCTTACGGGTTTGGAATTACATGAGGGCGAATAAATGATGACAAAATAAACATTTTTGGGTGAACTTTCGCTTTAAGATGACAATTCTGGGCTAGGTTTTTTGTTGTCGTTCAGCTAGTCTTGGAATTTTAGTCCAAATCTATTCCCCAAACAATTCAGTAATTTATGATTTTTTTTAGAATATTTTCAGTATTCTATCTCTTTGTATTTAATTTGACCTATTTATGTGCAGTGTTATGTTAAGATGGATCTTCTTGTCCTTTTTTTGTCTGCAAAGCTCCATGGCTGTCTGGAGAAAAAAAAGCTTTTAATCCTGTTTTATTTTCCGTAGATGAACAGAGAAACATTCCTATAACTGATCAGTGAGTTATGTTGCCAACTGCCTTGACTTTGCCGCCTTACTGCAGATGTGTGTGTGTGTGCCGTGTGATCTCTAACAAACTGTGTATATGTGATTTCGTGTGTATACGAGGCTAGTGTTTGTGTGCGTGTATGTGTGAGTACGTTTTGGCGAAACAGTCTTGACGAAATCGTCTTGATGTCAGTGTGACATACGTATTGAATAACAATATAGCAGCCAAATGTAAATATAGGCCAAACTCATGTCACCATTTACTTCTACTATAATAAGATCTAACAAGCTGAAACAGTATGCTCAAATGTGGTCTGGTTTGATTGGAGTTTTACAGTTTAAACATTATTTATTTACTCTATGTAAATATGTTGGATATTAACATCTTTTTGTGTCTGTGTAATGTAGTACAGCATATTTATTTTCAAATTATATTGCCCTTTTTCTATAAAATTTTGTTTGAAAACTTTCACAGTTTTGATGCGTCTGTACTGTGCGATAACGTGAAAACACCCCAAGATGATAATCTTGATTAATTTATGATTCCAGAAGCATCGTTGCCATTCAGGAGCATGAATGATGTTCATTCTTTTTGTAGACCAATCGCCTTCTGCAATTAATTTCAGGTTTAACCTGAAAACTGTCATCAAAGAATTGGTCCCAAAAAAAACAGGTGTATGTATGATGCTCCTGCATGTCTCGATTGTATCCATACATACTCAGCATCCCATTTCATCCCATTTCTCAGCATTTTCGGCTTCCTGTTGTTGGGTTTTAACGTCAGGAAACTTTTCAATGACGCTGTTCTAAATCACTGAAACAACGTTCATACCGAGCTGCAGTTGAAGCTTCATGCTAAAATGATATTCATGTACTTTAACATTTAACTTTTACTACAGTTCACTCCATCTCGGCACGAACAGTATTGCCTGCATTCCTGGAATAATTCCTAAATTTCATGAAACATGCTTTAACATTTTTTGTAACAACTTTATGCACTTTAAAAAAAAAAAGTATTATTTGAAATGCATATCAGTGTTAGGCCTTAAAACAATGCTTGATTTTTGTATTAGTTGTTTTAGATGTTGCCTAGAGTTGCATCGCTTACAGATTCCACTTTAAAGCGATATTTTTGTCCAGAATGTTTCCTCCACGTGGTAGTTCAGCCTCGAGCACATTACGTAGGAATGTTTTGGTTTGTTAAACTATAAAACATACAAATGTTAAACAAGCCATTACCATTCCAGACATATCCGATATGTCTCGCTAAACCTGAGCCCACTGGTCCATGTGATCATCAGAAAGGCAGCCATCAGTAGATCAGTGTTAATGAGGCTTAGGTTTAAGAGCAGTTTGTGGAACTTTGCGTGTTTGTTTTGAAACAGCTGATTTTAGCCTGAGCGGCGCTCCACTAACACTAGATTAGCCAATATGTTTGACATAATATGACCACGTGAAGCACTTAAGAGCAGCAGCTTAACACTACCTATGAAATATAAGATAATCCTCATGCCACTCTCCCCCCACCTGCACAGGCCCCTCAGCTGCTTAAATACCCCAAGAATGTTGTAAGTGACTTAATCTGTGATTAGAGGAATTTTGGGTTGGCAGGTTCTCGTCTCCGGTGCAAATCATCATAGTGTTGGATCTGCCAGTGAACTTTACCCCATCAGTTTAACTTCGAGTTAAATAGCATGAACCGGAAGGTTGTAGGTTTAAATCCCAGATATTTCATGTATTTCTGCCAATCAGGAAATGGCCATGTTTCCTTGACTTGTAACTGATATAATTGACTGGATACTCCACTTAGTACCACTGTTTAAAATATTTAACTTAACACTAAATGAATTTGATATTAATACTTTTTTTATTTATTTAATTTAGCCAATTTGCATGTCCTCGTTGATTACTAACTGTTATTTTTGAAGGTTTTTTCAGAATCAGATTCCACCTAAATCTTGCCTTAATTGAAATTAAAATCATGTATTGTCTATGTACTTTCTGGTGATGTGCAACATTTGTATTTCCCCTCAATTTCCATTCAGCCTTGTTATGCAGTGAAATTTCCCCCTTTTTCATTTTTCACACAGTGTGTCAGTATTTAAACGGATAATTCATCCAAAATGTTTTAATTCTGTTATAATTTACTCACCCTCAAGTTGTTCCAAACCTGTATGAATTTCTTTCTTCTGCTGAACACAAAAGAAGATATTTTGAAGAATGTCAGTAACCATACAGTTGATGGTCCCTAGTATCCATTTACTATAGTATCCATACCATTTTTGCTAGCTAACTGCTTGTGCTCTTTCATATGCAGTGCTTCCTTTACTAATCCGCTATCCATTCAAATTATATGAACTCTAAACTTACTGTGACAGGGTTGAAATCATTTTGGTAGTAACTTTGCAAGGCTGTAACCACCTATTTTGCATATACAAATCTGCACAATGCAGAAATGCATCTATTAGGCTCAGTTTTCTGAGAATGAGCTTAGATGTGGGATCAGATCCATTGGGACATATAGATCAGAGAACACAAAGTCTTGAGTTCTTGACATTTGATTTTATTGTTTATCAAGCGGTCATAAATTGGTGCCATGTGTAATTGTCATGTTGCTGAAAATAAACTGGAATTTACCCTCATTTCCAACAGTGTGGCGTGACCAAGGTCTGCGTCTTTGCAGTCCACACCCTGCTGTCTGTAGAGACGTGCACTCTGTCAGGAACATACAATTGTCCAATGGCATCATTACTCATCTGTCCACGTCTCACACCTGTGTGTGAGAGCATCAGATTAGGTGCGTGCTCACCTACACATACTGCATTTGCATGTACAACCACCATTTAGTCATCAATCTCATAAAACACGGCAATATTTAACATTTTGTTGGCATCACTTAGGGTATGGAAATATCTTTGAAGAAAAAGAGCATGAGTGGGAATGAATAAACTACCCATTTGAAATTTCCTTGCCAGTCTTTTTTTTGAAAAGCTTTGTGGTTTAAAGTATGAAAGCATAGCCGCTTTTATACATTTAGAGTCAAATGCACGTGTTACGGATTGTTCTCTGACAGACTGCATCTAATTCACTTAAGTTTGCTTACAGATTATATAAGGTTTGTGAAGAGACGTGATGACATTTTGAATTTGACGGTCCCTTCGTTGAGAAATGAGCTTTGATCCTTGTGAACAACAAAACACTTTTTCAATGTGAAGAGTTTTGCAAACTCAAACAGGAATCAAAGTGGTTTTATAATGAGGAAACTCAATGCATTTCCTGAAGTGGAGCCACCTTTGAGCAGTAGACGACAGGGTATATGTGTGTGTTCTGTTATTTAATGCACATGCAAGAGTTCTATACTTTTCTGTCCTGCAAAGACGGGTCAGAAATTAAAGCAGCACTAAGTAGGAATTCCGTTTTTGTCAAACAGCGACCCCTAGAGTCGCTGTGGAGTACTTGTACTGTCGTGAATAGCACTCACGCAGAGATGGCTCGCACTCACGGCCGGATCCCCTCCCCCTGTACACCGGTACCTGTTCAGTAGGATGGACGCTCTAACGAGTGGAAATAAGGTATGGCCCCTTTAAGAGCTGCGCGCGTCCTGTTTAACTGTCGGCAGTCTGTATTGTATGTGCGCCTCGAACACCACATGTATACGGCGCCGGGTTATTTCTGTTTGATGCTCATTTTATCAGAATTTTATCAGATCTGTTTTTTGCCGTAAAGCAATCCGTTACCTCGCGAGAGCTGATATCACACGATACTTCCTAACACTGCGGCCGGC